TGGTTGAGTAATTTTTATATCATTACATACATTTTGCTTAAGTAAATAAATTTTTAGAAGGCATCTTTAAAAACTGAAAAAGAGAAGAAAAATAAAATAACTTAATTCACCCCCCTCTTAAGTTATACGAGACTACTTAACTAACATAAATATATATATATATATACACACACATGATTTTATTGTAATCCCTTGAAGAGTTTTATGTCTTCAAGTCAAAATGACAATAACTATTTTATAATTTTTGTACCTTATACATATTGTTGTGTGTTATCCATGTATTGTTGCATAATAACCATAATATAATTAAATTCTTTATGATATTCGTTGTGGAGTTGTTGAAATGTACTAAGTGTAGTAGCATATTAGATCGTTATAGCTCATGTTATTCAACTAGTATTTGATTAGTTCAACTAGAGTCCAATTGATTCAACTAGAGACCAATTGATATAGTATCTTTACCGAATCAGACTACCGATGTGAATTTTAAAACTACAAGTGTAATTAACTTCACATAAATAAATGAATAAATTACATTCTTATTTTTTATTTAAATTATTCAAATTATTTTATCTATTTTTATAATGCTTAATTTGATCATTTGATTTTGAAAAAATTATACTCTCTTCTCTTAAAGTCTCTATAAATAACATATATCTCTCCTCTAATTTTCAAGTAATAATTAACCTCTTGTATTATTTATTTACCTAAATAACACAAATCTTATAAAATAACACTTTTTTATACATTATTAAAGAAGACAAATTACTAATACAAATCTCAACAATTAAATCACAGATAATATTTTACTAAATTCTAAACCTTAAATTATATGTTGCCTGCTATGCTTTCTTTTTTTATATCATACAACACATTGTAATTTAATTTTTCTCTCGCTCTATGTACACTACAACAATATACTTTAATCATTCAAAAACAAAATTTCACAACAAAATAGTCCTGTGTTCTTTGTGAGACCCTCAGTCTTTTCCCTCTCTCCCTCTCAACATTTCACTAGTAGCCTTCCTTTTCTAACTTAAGCATCGGAGTCTCTTTTGCAGGTACCACCCCCATCTTGGAGCATAAACGTACTAGTGAAGGAGGCTCACCGACCTTACCCAGCGGATCATCTCCACCTCGGATCCCCGGTAAGAACATTTGGCGCCCACCGTGGGGCCGATCAAGACAGCTCTTATCGGCCACTCTTATGGGTTTCAACGTACTAGTGAAGGAGGCTCACCGACCTTACCCAGCGGATCATCTCCACCTCGGATCCCCGGTAAGAACATTTGGCGCCCACCGTGGGGCCGATCAAGATAGCTCTTATCGGCCACGCTTATGGTATTCACCCGAAGCCATAGTAGACGCGCAACAGACGACGCAGATCGCACGACAACCATAGACAACGAAGCAGCATTGAGAAGGCTGATCGAACAAGTCGAGCAGATGAGGCAACAACACACTGCCGATCTGCAAAACATTCGTGCCAAGCACGAAACTGACCTAGCGGCGCTGCGTGCCGAGAACGAGCATATCCGCGACCAGCTTCCTCGGCGCCTTTCTGATCAGCCCCCTCAACCGAGTAGTCAACACGAAGAGAAGGGGCTCTCGGTCTCTCAACCCTCAATCGCGCCTAGGGCACCGACTCCCCGACCTGCCACACATCGGTCTCACGCGCCAACGAACAGGTCGGCCCATGAAGTCAGCAACGCTCCGACTCAAGCTCTTAGAAATCGGACGAGCATTAGCAGCCATCCCTTTGTGGACGACATCATGGAGACACCTCTGCCTTTCGGCTGGGAGCCCCCCCACATCGACTGCTATGACGGCACGACGGATCCAGATGAACACATTGACTTATACGTCACACAGGTAAACCTATACACTAATGAAGATGCTATTCTGTGTAGGGTTTTTCCAGCCTCACTCAAGGGGTCGGCACTCGCCTGGTATACCCAATTGCCAAGGGGATCATTCGATAGCTCCGACCTCATCACATCACATCCGCCACCTTGGCCAGCCCCAGACAGGGCGACGACGAACCATTAAGGACATTCATGGAGCGCTTCACTGGCGTCTCCGTCAAAATCCGCAACTTAAACCCCGAGGTCGCACTGTTCTCCATGCTCATGGCGTTGAAGCCAGGACCTTTCGTCGACAGCCTTTGTCGACGACCTCCTCCCGACATGGACGAGCTCCGAGCTCGCGCTGTATGCCGAGCTCGAGCTCGTCATCACAACGCGGAGTGACCTCGGACACGCACTAGGCGACATCGTCTCGCTATCCAATTAGGTCATAAACTGATCTTGGGCCCAAGGCCCAACAAAACCCTAATACACACAAAGGTACATGCATTACTTATACGAGACTCATACACCCACAAACACTAACTTTAGCATCGGAGTCTCTTTTGCAGGTACCACCCCCATCTTGGAGCATAAACGTACTAGTGAAGGAGGCTCACCGACCTTACCCAGCGGATCATCTCCACCTCGGATCCCCGGTAAGAACATTTGGCGCCCACCGTGGGGCCGATCAAGATAGCTCTTATCGGCCACGCTTATGGTATTCACCCGAAGCCATAGTAGACGCGCAACAGACGACGCAGATCGCACGACAACCATAGACAACGAAGCAGCATTGAGAAGGCTGATCGAACAAGTCGAGCAGATGAGGCAACAACACACTGCCGATCTGCAAAACATTCGTGCCAAGCACGAAACTGACCTAGCGGCGCTGCGTGCCGAGAACGAGCATATCCGCGACCAGCTTCCTCGGCGCCTTTCTGATCAGCCCCCTCAACCGCTTCCTTCTTTTTTCTTTTTTGTTTGCTTAGTTCACTCTTTGATGAAAACCATTTTATTAGTTTAGCTTTTCTCTCCCATATCAACCAAAAAATAATTTTCTTTCTTTTGAGAGATGTTTTTTTTTTCTTCAAAAAGGATTATTCACTTCATACCAACAAGTACGATTATTCACTTCATGGAGTTTTTCTAATATATTTATTTATTTTGTTGAAAAAATGAAACTTGGGCCTTGCTTTCCGAAGAGGTTGGGTTTCGAGCACAACCCATTAGCGTGGCTCAAATAAAAACTTCGCAGGAATGACGTTAATTAGTTCAAAAACATAAACGAAAGTAATGAGTATTTTTTAAGGTTTAAATATTATCTTATTTTTTTAATAAAATGAATAGGTTTTAATTTTAGTTTTTTTTAAAAAATTGTTTTTCATCTTTCAAAATTTAGGAATGTTGTTATTATTTTTATTATTGTGTAATTATTTTAAATTATTTATTTATTTATTAAAAAGTTAAATGACTATCTCAATTATAAAATATTAATGGAGTTGAGACACTTCGTGTCTCCATATTTATTTTAAAATATTTAAAAAAGTATTAATATTTATTGAATCAATTAGTATTGTTCTTGATTTTTGAACTTTAAGATCTTGAATTTAGTTAATTTTTAATATGATTTTTGTTATTTAAATTTAAGAGTAAAATTATCTAAAAA